AGCTCTACACCATTGAAAGTGCAAATCTCAAAATGCTTAAGCCAGTGCCCTAAAGCTTGCAGCATTCTGTGGCGCAGTACCAAGATGTACCTGATGGTAGGCTATGGGAATGAGGGCTGAACGGCGAACACGGCATCGACGGCATAGTCGAACATCAGTGCTCCTCCTTGCGCCGCCTGGGGGCAGTTTGATGCGGCAATGCCATTGACGAAAGCCAGAGCCGTGGAAAGACTTTAACAATAACTTGCGAAAAACGTGCTATCAGGAAGGATATCGAAAACTACCAATGCAAGGTCTGTGAGAAGGAGATGGGAATGGCCGACTTGCTGGATTCTTGGAGATTCCTGATTTTCTCGGTTTTTCCACTGGTTTGCTATCCAACTGAAGACAGGTTGTGAGTTGGGCTCTGCTTCGGGGTTCTCGGCAAATTTGTCATTCAGCAGTTTCGGATTCTCACGCGTTCCCTTCAGAGCAACGTTGCTTGTGGCTTGCGATCTTTCCACGCCACCGCCAGTGCTACCCAAGCTGAAAAGCCTTTTGAATATGCATTCCTGCAAACATCTGATGCTGCTGGGACCATAGATCAGACTGTTCACGCCAGTACTGGCAATTGCCAGCAATAGCTGGACCAAGGCACTGTCCTTCCGTCTGCTACAGGAGAGGATTGCTCGGAATGTCAGGTCCAGCATTGATGCGGCATCATGCTGCGCGTTCTACATTGGCGAGAACTGCTTCCAAACTTGCTCACTTCAGATTTAAAGCAAATCAGAAACCTGTCCCTGCTTCTTGATTGAAAACAGGGAAATCGCGGCAAGTTGATGCAAGTGGTGCTAGCAAGACTTCTCTGCATCGTTGCAGATTTGATATCTTTCCTTGAAGCAGAATCTAAGCTCACCACTCCTCAACTTAAGAGATATGTTGGCAGCCTTCAATTCGATAAAAGCCGATATTGAGGATGCGCACTTGTGAGCCACTTCGCCAGCGAACAGACAAGAACAGCACAGCACTCGACGTTGTCCTGGTCAAAGCCGATTCTCCAAGTCATCGCAATGATCGTGTAGATGATGAGGACACCAACAAACACGTCCCAGCAAACCTGCAAAGCTCGAAAAATAGAACAAGAATCTCAACATTGGCCTCGCTTCGGCTGCGCTTTGCTGCCCAAGCCCTCATTGTGTCCTGTGCCCTCTTTGTGCCCACTGCGGCCCCAGCCTTCCATGGATTTCTTGGCGAGATGATTCGGCACTGCCTCACAAACATGCAAACAGGTTCAGTAGATATAGAAACCACAGCCGTGCAAACCGACCACACCCGCACCTACTTCTTCTGCGAGCAGCCATACAAACATCGCTAGAGTCACACTTCGACGGTTGAGCAGTTGAGTGTATTGTGGGTCCGGGAAGCCTCGGCCTAGCAAAAAAGGCCTGCTGCTGGCAGGCAAAGGCATGAGACTCAGGTGCGCACCCCTTCGGCGATTCTAACTCCTGCGCGAAAATCTGCAACGGAAGAGTCACGTGCATCAAGATGTCACGTTGCTTCTGCTTAACTGTGATAGCGTGCGCACATTTGAAACAAGTTAGCCCGCTGACCTGGTCGGAAAGCCCGGTTTCGAAGGACCGCATGCTTGCTGTCTCTGCAGCACCGGAAGCATAAGGACCTTTCAAAAACTCAAAAGAAGAATCGGCGCATGCAAACTCACGCAAACCCGCGAAGTTCTATGCAGCCAACCTTCTTTGCCGTTCGCATTTCCATCTTGACTATCTGAATCTTCCTGAGACACCGACATTAATCTGGGGGAAAGGGGGTTGTCGAACAACAAAGGATTCGATACATACGCTGAAAAACTTGCGGCTGCCTCCCCAGCATTCCCAGTGCCACCGGTTCCTGCACGGGGCTGGCTGCGAGGATCTGCGAGGATCTGCGAGGGATTTCCTTCTAGCCATGCGTTCCAGCCAGGTCCTGCGGGGGGCCCGTGAACCCCTGGAACTCGTGCCTGAAGCAGAGGAAAACAAGACCAACAACACTGGAAGGCTTGCGAATCTTACGAAGGCCTCGATGGACCACTTCAAAGTCTGCAAGAAGCCTTCCTCTTCTTGACCTGAACGTTTTAAGCAAAACACCCTGCATCGACTAGAATCGTACCCCAGTCGTTAGTCCTGGGAGCAGACAGCAGCTTTTAAAAAAAGTTATAAACCGCACGCCTATGGCGAGAAAGATGAATACTCCTCTGGCTTTTGCCGAAGAACATAAATTTTAAAAGAACATGAGCACCCGACCCACTTCCAGTGAAAGGGCAAGGCCACTGGCAGAGATCCTGCAATGGCTTGTCCAGGTGGGGCTGGGCAAAGCCGTTCGATATTCTATACATGAGGTCCTTCTGTGGCTTTGAACGCTGCTTCTGGCAGCTTTCCTGCTCAGTACATCAACCTCTTCACTTACCAAGATGTGAAATGTAATGAAACTGCCGAATGCCTTTCACCGTGAAGAACTTGATGAATTACCTCGTGGGCGCATCCACATTAAACAAAGGCCAGATGGAAACAACGAATGTGCAATAATCTGTACACATGCGATCATGTCAACTTGCACGTTCGGATTGAACTGTAACACTGCTGCACATGAGACGTGGATGGGTCGAGTGTCGACACAATTTGCCCTGGTTGGGAATCCACAAAGTAAACCGGTGTTCCACGGAAGGTTCACAACTTTGAGAAATATATGTCAACAAAAAGCATCTAAATGATGAACGCCCAAGATGCCACACGTGCAGCCATGTCAAAGCTGGGCAACCTCGCAGCAAAGCGTGCCAACTACCAGCATCTTTCCCAAATCTTGCAAATGCATTGCAAGTATGAAAGGCCAAATATATATAATCATATCTAAGCGTATAAATGCTGCAACACTACTTGAGCATGAACAACAAGCTTGGTGTCCGACACCCCAGTGCGAGGGTTGCCATGCTACATTACGCCACGGCACGCAGCGTATTCTACAATTCTATCAACATGTACACACTTGCAAACCCATGGCATTTGGTACTACCATGCTAAACAAGCACCACTACACACGAAGCAGCCCTCACATGCAGCAAAAGGGATGAAAGGCTGTAAGGTAAACTTCAAACCCGAATGGCAGCGAATGAAGACGGCATATGTTTCCACCAGAAATCAAGAACAAATATGAACGACGTCACCAAGACCGCAGACACCTCTGCACAGCACATCCGGTACGTTCATGAATGCCACCAACTGATAACCGATTGCTTTGTCCAAGAAAGGCAAACCTATGAATTCACACGTGCCAAAATCGGAGCGGCATACCAAGTGTCAGCAAAATTCGAATTAGCTTCAGGCATTTTTGTTAACAATGAAGTGCACTGCTCACAATGCACACGTACTCGAGTGAATGCGAACAAACATGGGAAAAAACACGCTGACATGATCTCAACCAAAGGGGCGTGCAGCCTCAGGATGCCCCAGGTACGTGGGTGGGTGAAACAAGATGCCTCCAGGCTTCAACATTGTAAAAAACATGCACACTGACTGAACTGATTCGCTTCCAAACTTCAGAAAGATCCGAAGAGATCTGAGTGTGGTCAGGCAAGGAGGAAGTGGAACAAGAAATGATGAGAAATGATGACACATCTGTCTTTTTGACCAAAACCAAGAACTTTGTGACGGAATAAGAATACCGCTACGAGAAACTAAGTCGTGCAGTGAGCAACTGCCATGGCCCATGACGCCGATGCGCATCGACAGAAATACAAGGCTGGGCCACAGGCCAGCAACGACCAAGGAGGTGTTGATGGGGCGCAGGAGCAGGGCAAGAGCGAGTGATCTTCGATCAAGGGTTTGCTAAGATCAAAAACGCCGACGCCAACAACAAAGTTATCAAAGCCAACCGCGCTTTTACACCCTCACTGCATACTCCGGCGTGTTCGTGATCGCACGAACGACAAACCCTCCGCGTGTTTGGGCGTTGTCGAAACGCAAAAACGATGACCCTCTGCGTGCCCGGCGCGCATGTTGTGATCGCACGAACAAACTCTTTGCGCGTTTTGGCGTTTAGCGTGGCCCACGGCTTTTGCTATGTCCGAGCGGTCGGCTTAATTGCGGCGCGCTATGGAAGGCAAGTAAAACGACGGAGCAGTTGTGCCCTGCGAACACCGTGATGGCGGTGGTAATCGCGGTGAGTCGGTGCGTGCCTCGGACTTGGCTGAGCCCTGCATGAACCATAGCAGCAGGCGAAACACTTTTCAGAAGGAGAACATGTCCAGGTATTGTCCAGCACCCAATTGGAAGCTGCTTTCTTCCGACGAACACTGTGGAGATCTGCTAAACTCCAAGTCACTCACTTTTGCTTGGACCGTAATTAAAAGGCGCTGTCGGTCAAACATGAGACACAAATCCCACACATGCTTTCTTAACCCTTTGGGTTGGTAGGTGGGGTTCCCAGGTAGTAGAAAAACTTTACACCCCGCCTTGATGTTGCGCGAACTGTAAGCTCAACATCACCTGTACACTAGCGGGTTCTACTTTGTCGTTGGGCTCATCTGGTATTGAGTGATGGCCTCGTTGTGCTCTCCCTTCTGGAGTTCCTGCACTTGGTGAAAACTGTTCCTACTGTTTCCTCGTAGGCGACACTTCGCTCAGGTAAGCTTGTACTCGTCGTAGCTCACTCTGTACGGAAAAAGGTGAAACTATTCACATCTTTCACTCATGGTCCCGGGCTGACAACTACCACAAGGACGGTAGTGCAATCTCGCATGCACTGCTGCACTGTAAGTGATCTTCTCGACTTTGCACATCTGCACACGTGAGTCTGTGATACCTCTTGCCATGAGGCGTGTACACATACTGGGGTTGTGCTCGTAGCTGTTCGTCCACATCCTGTGCCATGGAACGATATCAATCATTCCCCATTCTTGAAATCGCCTTGCAAGCTCTTCGTCATTCACATGGATTTGGCTTGCTGGTACTGTACTGATTCCAGGCGTTCCATCACCACTGCCTGTCGCTGAATCCTCTGGTTATCACGGAAATACATATTGACTGCCCTTGCTGCACGTTGAACATCATCTTCATCGGGCGATACTTCTGCACAAATTGCCTTACACTGAACTCTTCCTGTGGCTCTTCGGACTGGTAGTAGAAGTCAAATGAATGAACTGGTTCCTGTGGCCTTCTTCCAGTGGTTCCTGTAGTCCTTTCTTCCTGTGGTTCCTGTGGTCCTTCTTCCTGCGGCCTGTTCTTCTTCCTGTGGTTCCTGTTGTCCTTCTTTTTGGGTTCCTGCCGTCCTTTGGTCACCTTCTGCTCGACCATGTGGAACAAAAGTAGCAAAAATTCCTCCAAGTAGCACACTGAAAGAATGATCCATCCGCTCACTTCCTTCACGTTGATGAAAATGAACTCTCTCTCCTCTCGTTCTCTTCCTCCGAAATCGTCTGGCTGTCGGATTTCCTCCCTCGAACGGAGAGTCCAGGATGAGCAGCGTACTGCCTCCAGCCCATCATGGCGGGGACCCATGCCTTTGAATCGCAGGGAAGTGACGGCTCTTCCAAAGGGCCCGCCATATTCAGAGGCATCCCAGCGGGGTCCAAACCCAACCAGGCTTCCTCAAGCTCTCTTCCTTGCACGTCTGAGTAAAAAAAATAAATAACTCCTGTACGCATGCAGTTTTTTCTTGCACTTGGAAGGCCACTACCCGCCTTTGGCATTCCAAGCTTCCGAGCCTGCGATTTCTGTGTGCACCTCAGATTCAGGTTTAAAGCATTGCTTCCAGTGCGTGTCGGGTTTTGCTTTGAGCCTTTCCATTTGCTCTATCCGCAAGGTGTGCAGCACCTCCACGCCATTTTGAGGGTCAATAGTACATCTTGCCTTTGCACTCTTCTTTTGCGCCGCCGTTTTCCAAAAATCTAGTGTACAAGGATTCCGGCTTTGCCCACCTCGGCAGGGAGCTGCTCTGGCTTTTGCAGCAGATCATATTCGGACAAAACGTGAGCCGTCCTTCGCTTACGCTTGCTGCAAGAGATGCCAGGTTCTAGCTCGGTTTGTGCAGTGTTCTTTGTTTGCAACTGCAGGTGCTTGGCCCGTCTTCTACATCAGAGCTTCCGACATTCTGACCCTTGCTTGGCAGAGCAGGGACCTCGGGGTAAGGATATTTGCCTCTCACTTTGTCTGCCTTTCTGCGTCAGAGCACAATCACATGCCGTTTTACCGTGTGGCCCGCAGCTTCCTCTTTAGAGGTCGCCCACTTGGATCTTGCTTTCCAACGTTTGTTGTGTACTCTTTTCCTTTCGGTGTCCCCGCTTGGCACCGGGGCACAAACGTCCGGCTGCAAAACCTCCTGCTTCGATTTTGCGACGGGGCCGCTTTGCTGGAATGCCGACGCCTAAACCCGCGTGCGGGATGCCAGCTCTGAGACGGAGGAGGTCCCGTCCCCACCGGGCGGCCCCCCCCCCTACAGGGGACAGCACTTTGGTCAGTTTCAAGGCAAGTTCTGTTTCGTCCACGCCCTCGTCTAGAACTGCTTTGGCTTTGCGCCGAGGAATGGAGAGTCTTCGAGCCAGGTCTACAGGTGGTGGGCCTTCGTCGGGTACCACGCCCCGTCCCTCTTCCAGCTGCGGCGGGACCCTCGGCCCTCCGCCCCCACGACCGGCTGCAGTTACTTTGCCTTTCATATACGTTGCTTCCATCGGCGACGGCATCCTTCATGGGTCTTGAGCCACCTCCAGCATTGCCGAAGAGCACTGGGGCACCACCCACGACAGCATCTCCTGGGTCCCCGACCACACCCGCAGTGCTGGAGGACGAAGCCACCGACGATCAGCCCAGCTGATTTCTCGGCAGTCAGGAATGTCCTGGCACTTGACCCGTGACGCACCATTGGCCTTTTCCTTGCAGCAAACCTTCATGGTTCTTTGTAAATAGTGTGCTTGTGTCGCGGAGCCCTTTCATCCTTGGCTCAGCCTGTTGCGTTTGGCTGATTTTTCGCCCACACTCGACCCGGCCGGTCATGAAAAAGTCTCATTGTTTTGTGGGAGGGAGCCTATGCAAAGCTCTCACTTTCCCTCTCCACGTTTGTTCCCCTCCTGTGGACATTGCGCTTACTTTGCATTGAGCTCAGGCAACCATCTTCGCCTTCATTTCAACTTCTTCGTGCTGTGCGCGGGCGTACTATTGCAGGCTTTGGCGCTTGTATGTTCATTTTAGTGCTTTGCAGGATCGGTGTCTCCGAGCTTTGGTATTCTGCTCTTTGCAGTTCAATATTTTGCCTCTCAGAGCGGGCTCCATTAGCTTTTGCTTCAGGCCCCAGGGGGGTTCTGGGAGATCATCTCCATTCTGCTTTGCACTCAGAGCGTTTGCTTGCCGGGCATACCTTCGGGGCTTTCTAGACTTAAAGAGCTTTCTTGCCTCTGTATGCCTAGTGCCCTCACGCATGTATCATAAGTTCATTTCTTTACTTTGTCGCTGCTTCCGAGCTTTGGAACCGATAGGTCCCTCCCGTGCTTCTTCGTGGCTGAAGGCCTTTGATGTATTGGCCCATGTCAGTTTCTGGCTTCGCCACTCAGAGCGGACTCCACCAATTTGCTATTCAGGCTCCGGAAGCCCTGGGAGGTCAACTCCGTCTTGCTTTGCACTTAGCGCTTTTGCTTGCCTGGCATCATCTCAGTGCCCTGCTGGCCATCCTGAACTTAAAAGGGGGGGGGCCTAAGGCCTTGGTGTGCTTCTTTAGGGCGTCGCACACCATCAGCTGCGCTACTCAGGCAAAGCTTGCGATTCAGAGTTTCGCGACCCTCTAAGACTTTGGGGGGATGCGTCTCTGCGGCTTTGGTTTTCTCCCTCTTGGCATCAGAAACCCAACAGTGCGATCTTTAATCGAGCCGTTCAGGTCTGTCTTGCGTCGCTTTTGGCTTGGTCTCCGAAGGGGCTCTACCAGACCACCTCATCACGTTCAGCGCCCAGCTTTGTCGAATGCCGTTCAATCCTTCAGAAGTCCTGCAGTTATCCCGGAATTTGCAATCACGTCCCCGTATGGCATTTTGCGAGTCTCACTCCAGCTCATGCATTACGCATGACAGCTCCCCCTTTTGCAGGGCTTCGCATGGCTCGAGCTACAAGGAGACCCTCTATCGAGAGGCCTTTGTCATATTAACCTTGCATTCTTTGTAGCAGACATGCCTTTCATACGCACGCCAACAGCATCAACCAGTCCCGCATCCGTTCCCTTTTGGTCACTCCTCTTGGGCAATTTCAATTTTGCCCTTGCAGTCGAAGCAGGCCTGGTTTGGCAGTGGCCTCTGCCTTTGAACTCGGACCATCTCTTTGCCGCGAGTCTCAGCAAAAGGAGTCTCGACTTCGGGTAGACTTGCATCACTTTGCCTTTGGCTTTGTCTACTTTGCATTTTCAGTCGGTGCTTGAATCGGAGCTTCAGTGCTTACTCGCATCGGCCCAGCTTTTGGCTCTTACCTCCTGGGGGGGTAGGTTGGGATTGCAGAGCTTTTTCCCTTGGCCTCGCACTCAGAGATTTTGAACGGCCGGTGAACGTCGTGTGTAATAACTACACAGCATTTCAGTGCTTCGCTTCGGCACTCAGAGCTTGTGCATCATCATTTCGTTGCTTTACCTCAGAGCTTTTGGGCTTTGCTTTAGCCTTCCCATCTTTGACACGGAGTTGTCTTTTGCTTCGGTGGCTCTGCCCACCCTCGCTTATTGCTGGCAATGGCAAATACTGACATTTTCTTGGGCCTTGCAGAAGCTGATGTGAACAAGGCAGTGTCCCGGCTGGAAGACGCGCGCCACATGCCGGCGACGAGCGGTTTTTCACCAACGCAATGGCTGTGGCACTGGCTTTCGTCTACGCCAGCCTTTGCGCCTTTGACGGAGGCTGCGGAGAAGATGGATGCCGTCTTTGGCTTTAGCTCTGGCGATTGGGCTTTTCATTGGGTCGAAGAGATGGAAAAGGCCTCCCTGAACCCGGGCGTAGCAGCTTCCCAAGCCGCGCCGGCGCAGCCTGCTTTGGACAGCAAGTGGCCGCATTTTCCTAATGGCCACCGCTCCCTTGGACTGGCCCCTGCTGATCTTCTCCGTGCACATGCATGGTTGGAAGAGGCCGCTTCTTTCGATGGTGCCGGTGGCTGGAAGGAAGACGACTGGCTTCGCTTTTGGATGGAGCAGGATTCGGCCTTTGAGACTTTGCTTCAGCGCGCCAAGGAGGCTGGCCATGGCTGGAACATTGGCCAATGGCTTTGGCTTTGGGTGTCGCAAGCCGACCGACCCCAGCCGCCGCCGGCTCCTCCTTTGGGCACTGCGCCACCTGTGGCTACCGGCATGGGTCCGGACGCTTTCCCGCTCAGCCAGCACAACGAGACGGTAATTGTCCAGCAGATTTACTGCCGCTCCACGTGTCAAGACTGCGGTGCTGGCCATTGCGGGGTCGTTCTTACACGCGAAGATTTGCCTCATCGGCACCGCTGTGGCATTTGTTACAAAGCTTTTAGGAGGGCACAAGGGCAACCCTGAGAAAGCCCTTACATCAGCATTTGGCTTTTATTTTGCCCCCCTTTACTTTGGCTTTGCCCGTTTTGGCGGGGCGCAGTACATAGAGTGTTGTTGGCTTTATCTCGCCGCATTTTCCCTCAGTGAGCTTTAGGCCGCTTGAGGGCGATTGGCGTCGGAGCGTGCCGATGGAAATCAGACTTGCGTGCGGTTTCGGAGCTTCTTTCACTTTTTGCTTTCGTGTACTTTCCCTCAGACATGCTCTCGCACCCAGGTCTGGCTGTGGACGCTCCTCACATTTTTCCAGGCGCACCTCTCAGAATATTTTTGTCTTTTCCTTGGCCCAGCTTTATTGTCTCTGCACTGGCTTTTCGGCCCCTTGTGCGCGTCACGTGCTTCTATCTGTACTGTGCTGGTTTGGAGTGCTTCACTTTTGCCCACACAGCAGTGCGAGATCGCAGCCTGGGCTTGCACCTTCCAGGTCCGTCCGCCTGGGAGGTGGACGTTTGCCTCAGGCCACCCTATGAGCCAACCCACCCTAGGCGGTTTTGATCTAGGTATTTTACGACGAATGCCCAGGCTTCACTTCCTCATTTCTTTATGGCTTCGCGTCAAGCTCGCTTTTTGCCAAAAAAAAAATGACATTTGGGGCAGCTGTGCTTTCCCTAATGGGGCTCCCCTGTGCGACGGTGCACAACACCTTATCGTGCTTCAACGGATCCTTTTCCCAAAGCCACCCTCTCCCACCTCCAGCCCTTGCTTTTTCCCGGAGGTTTCAGGCTCGGCATGCCGATGCTCTAATCCCGGCCCGTGGGGGTGAGCAACCCGGCAGGCCGTTTCGTTATGTTTGCCTGGTCTGGGTGTTCTGAGCCTTGGGCATTTTCTTTCCGCTGCCTGTCACAGGAATGTTGGACCTGTCAATAGGCCTGCATGCTGGCTTTCTTTCATGCCAAGCGGCACACCAGCCGGTTGGGTGTTCTGGATTCCGGAGTCTGTCTCTGGGTGATCCGGACCACCTAGACTTTGCCTTTCCTGCCCTGGGAGTTGCTTCGACCCCGCGAAGTGCGTGCCTCAACGAAGTCTGGCCCCTTTTTCCGCTCTTCATTTTTGGAGAGTCTTTCTCCTTGAGACTGTAATCGCACTCAGCTCCTCTGCAAGGCCTTGGCTCTTGAGCTTCAGATCCGCGTTGGCCTGCATACTCTGCCATGGTTCATGGGGTCCCTTACGGTTGCGTTTAGGCTTCGTGTGCAATTCAAGGCCATCGGTCCCCCTGGCTCTTGGAACTTTTTCTCAATGCGTCCGTGGCTCAGAATGCCAGTGCATATCAAGCGTCTGTGAACCCTTGCAGATCAGTAGAGCACGGTGCATTGGTATTTCATCTTCGCGGAGCCGGCACCGCTGGGCACTCATGTGAGCCCTTTCCTTGTGGTTTCCCCTTTTTAGCTTCTCGGGCCCAGGGACTTTAACTGGTAAGGTCAGCTGTCCATTCAGTGACGTTTCTTTTCTTTCACAGGTCTCGGCCCCGGCCACCTCTCACCGCCACCGAGACGGCTTGTCCCCGGAGCTGTTCTCAGTGCGTCCATGGCTCAGAGCAGCTCTGCTAGTGTTCGACCTTCACACCCCAGGGTTCAGTGCGTCGCATTGGGTCATTAGATTACCCGCTTTTGTTCTCTCTAACCTTCTGCGGAGCTTGCCCCACTTGCAGCGCCTATGGGAAGTCACTTGCGTTTGTGCTCTTTCCTCGAGCTTTTTGGGATCCAAGACTGTGTGTGGCGTCTCTTCCATTTGCGATTCTCACAGGGGCTTTTTGGTTTCCTGCCGAGGGGACAAAGAGACTCTCTCCCAGCTTTGCCGTTTATGTCGTCCCAGGACGAGCCTATGTCAGACGCGCGTTTCCACCAGATCCGCAACGCTGCGGATGGGCCACTTTGGACTGCTTTGACCAAGGATCGGTCCTTTGCGTCCGCTAGGCAAATCCTAGCACACAACTGGAAGGCGCGCTGGAGCGTCATCCGCCTCGAGAACGACTTAGTCAAAACCCTCTTGGACGCTTTGGCTCAGCATCCTGAAGAGCGGGCTCTTTTTGTCCACAACTTGGCCGAAATGTCTTCAGAGTCTGAGTCAGAGGAACTTCCTCCCGCCGAAGCACCAGACAATTCGCGGGGGTGATCCTTTTTCTCGAGCCCACATGGCCTTCCTTTCATGCGTACTTTGTTACGCATCTTTTGTCAAAGTGAGCAATCATGTGCTTTGCGGCGTCTCGGGTGCCAAGACTTGGCTTTCAAACAGCCAGTGTACTTACGCTTTTCTTCTGTTTGCGCTGTTTCAACTATTCCATAAGCACTCTGTGCTTCTGCACCTGGGCTAGCCTTACTGGGCTAGCCTTACTGGGCTTACACCGTGAGATCGTGCAGTGACATCTGGCCCTCTACGTCATGCTTCTCGCACCAGAGACCCCCCTTTGTGATCTTCTTTGGCATTTGTTAAGCAGGTCTCACGTGCTCAGGCAGTCGGCCGACTTTGGTGCCTGCGAGGAGAAATGCCGGCAGCAGCGCAGGTATCATTGATGCGGGCTATCGCCACCTGCGCTTTCCCCCCCTTTACATGAACTATCCTGAATCTTCATGGTTTGCTCCCTCTCTGCTTCTGTTCGCTCAGGCTTTGGCCTCTTTCGGCCGCCAAAGCTTCGGGAGCATCGCCCCCTCTTTCGCTTCTGCAGGCACGGCATTTGCCCAAAACCCTTCAAGCCCGGTTGACCCTAAGCCGCTAACCCTGAGCCTTCGGTTGTTCCCCCGTATAAAGGGATGCATCCCAACCTATAAGTGAACCCTAGGCTGTGCTTCACTTTTGCGCGTTTGCTTTGCTGGCAGTCAGTACGGGACATTGTCCCCGCTTTTTCCTGTCAAAGAGTCAGGCCGGCTTTCTAGTCCTGCCGGTACAGAGCCTCTTACAAGTCTCCGGGCGTGTCACACGGTCAATCAAGCCCTTGGCTCATCGCAGTTTTGCGTTTCGGCCCCTCGCGCGGAGGACTTGACGGTCCGTGGGGGCCAGCGCACGTTTGGCGAGAAGGTTGGCTCCATGCTTGTTTAAGTATTCATTGTGAGCATCCGTCCCAGCACTCACCCCAGCCCGCGACTTTCTGTAGCAGGCCTTACAGGGCTTCTCTATGGAGGTCCATTCCTTATGGGGAAGCTCACCATGCTGGCACGACAGGATTCCTACGTGCGAGATCTTCCGCTCTCGTCTTAGGCACTGTCCCTAAACCTAGGAATCCTGCATACCGGGTTTTCCGGAGGGTCTCTTAGCACTGGTTTAGGCGACTCCTGCCTGCAACCATGTCAGGAGACATGCACCGCTCAGTGGTTCAGATCCGCCGCATCGTCCTTTGAGAGTAAATGAGCGGATGCAATGCTTTTCTCCGGGTGTTTCCCTGCTTTTGTGATGACAGTCAGCCTATCTTTTGTGCTTTGGGACGATCCAGTGAGCAGCGGCAGAGTCACAGCACAGCCTTTTCCCCCGCACGGCCTCCGGCCCTTGTGGCTCTCAGAGAGCCGTAGAGCACTTGCTTGTTACTTTGCATTTGAACATGGAACACTTTGCATACCTTTTACTGTACATCACTTTGAGTGGGGCTCTGACAGCCGCGTATTTCTGCCCGCGGGTCGGGCACATGGACCGCCCTGACGAGGTGGCTTTTCTGAGGGAGGAAGTCTCCCGTCTCAGGCATCAGGTTGCCATTCTGCAAGGGGACCTGTCGGGAGCTCATCTGACTACAGAGGAGCTTCTCGCGCGTATCCTCGCTCTGGAGCAATCGTCCAGCGGGCACACAGTCCGTTTGTCCGACATGGAGGCCGACCTCGAGCTCTGCAACAGTCGTCTGGCGGAGGTCCAGGCCTCTCTATGCGCAGTCATCCAAGGCATTGGATCTGTATTCTGTTCCATGCTCCGACAGTTGGGCAATCGACCCTAGCCACGACTTTCGCCTACCACATCCTTGTTGGGGGGTCGTGTTGCGACACGCCTCTCTGCAATACGACCGGCTTCTCTAGAGCAGGTTTGGTTTTTGGCTTTGCACTCGGCGCTTCGATGTGGCTGGAGCTACATGACGATACTTTGTTTGAGCCGCCCAGTAAACTGGGGGCATGCCTGGCACGTCTTCGCTCACTTTTAAAAATTGGGCTGTTCGGTGCGAGCTTTGACTTTGCCAGTGTTAAATTGGTGGTAAGCTCAGTTTCTCAGCTTTGGCGCAATTCGACTGCTTTGCATTGTGCTTCGAACTCTGAGCTGCATTTCCGGCAAAGTCAAAAGGAAAGGAGTGAGAGCTTGTGGTAGGTGCTCACTTAGCCTGGAGTTTCGTAGGGCTTAATAGTGGCTTTGGTAGTGTGGCTTGAACTAGCGGTGAACGGTTCATGTGTTTACTCATGTCTGTTTACTGTTGTGAAAGATCACCGTACTCTGTTGCCTTTGGGTTCAAGCCACACACCAAATCATGCAGCTTGCATTGCATTGCTGGTAGCTACGCTTTTTCGTTCCCACCCACCACTCCCATTTTGAAGACACATTCCTTCAGCTGGGACGGGTCTCGGGACCTTCGTACAGCTGGCGCTTGCTCATCTTGCACCCGTGTCACAGTAGTACTTGTTTTCTGCTTTGGGACATGTTCCATACTCGCGTTGCTTTCCTTTAGAGCTATCAGCCGGGTCAACCCAAACGGGCTCCCGTCTTCTGAACGGCTGGAGCTGGCCTCGTTTCACGAGAATCCACAAGATTTTCTTTTCTTGCCTTGGTCCAGGTCTGTTCAGCTCTGTACCTGTGTTTCATCGTGGTGGTAAGCTCAGATTCTCTGCTTTGGCGCAATTCGTCTGCTTGCATGGTGGTAAGCTCAGTTTCTCAGCTTTGGCGCAATTCGACTGCTTTGCATTGTGCTTCGAACTCTGAGCTGCATTTCCGGCAAAGTCAAAAGGAAAGGAGTGAGAGCTTGTGGTAGGTGCTCACTTAGCCTGGAGTTTCGTAGGGCTTAATAG